AAAAATAAATTCAGATGCGCATTCTTCGATGTCATCTAAACAAAAATATAGTTACGGAAAAATTAACTTTCGTAACACTTTTCCGTGATGATATTCCTACGTAGACAAGGGTAACGGCTTATGCTTTCCAGAGTTATGACTTGATCGGATTTCACCGCGAGAGCAATCCTCGAGAATGTATATTAGTTGGAAATTACGCGGTGTCACCCGTTTCTCTCGTATCACGGTCGACGTTAAGTCTGCTAGAAATAAATGCAAATGAAACCTCTGTTGGCGATCTTGTTACCTGCTAAAGGCTCGTACATCCGGTTACGGGCCGGCGCGGCGCCGAGGCAATTTCAGGGAAATGGCAAAATCTGCACTTCTTCGTCCATCCCTGTTCGTGAATACAACGTGCGGTAGATTAGCGAGAAGAAAGGTCGGACCATTTCGAGAATCCGGAGAGCTGGAACGCATCTCATCATCCCGATCTCTCGTGACGTGTCGCAATTAAATTACGCGGAGTCATTAACGGGCTTAGGACGGTGCGAAGAAACTGATTTCGCGGACGAGTGCTAAATCCGTTCGATATTCTCGTTTCTGAATTTCGAGCGGGCTCCTCGTAAGTGAAATTGCCGATCGATCGCAATCTTCTACCGATTATTAGCGCGCGTATTATCCGGCGGATGGATGACACCGACACGTTAAACACATCCGCTGTCTTTATCGGCGTTGATACGACGAGCCACCGAAACCATCTCGTGGCATACATAAGCCGAACATATTACCCTAGGTATCTGCTGAAATTGACACTAATTCCGCAGAGAATCTTGTCAGGACGACAGGGACCGGATTGCCTTTCTCATATCGTACATTACGATTCGATAACCTAAATGTACCGCGCGCGGTCGCGTTAGTCCGTATCCTATTGGATAGGTATAGGTCTGCGGCGGACGCAGTTTCCCTGTTCAGAAGCTGAGCTGACGGCGTGCAATGTCCGATCCAATCTGCGTGTGTATGGGCTACGGCTAACGGATGCCAACCAGGTCTAACCGCTCTAGTGTACGTAGTATCGTCATTCCCTTCGAACTACATACACGCATCGGCGGCGCAAAGCCCAATGTAACTAGCACGCGTGTGGATACAGCCGACCGAGAACGCTGTGTTCAGCACAGAATGACCAGTCCGGAAGCCTCGCCAAAGGCGACAAGGGATGTCCGCTGCCCAAATTGCCATCCTTGCTTACACGAGTCACTTTTTCGATTCTAAAGTTGCACAGATTGCGCCCTCTTACTTTTTTATTTTTTTTTCATTTCTACGTTTCTTTTGATCTTTGAGCTACTTGAGAATTGTCTTTGTTATTTATTCATATATGAAATATTTATTTATACGCGAAATTTCTCGTAAGAATTTGGAGCACATAGAAAGAAAAATATTTTGTCGATATACGTGTATAATTCTGTAAAGCCAATACCAATAAGAATATCGAATGACGAGTGATACAAAGTAGTTTTAAAAACATTATTAAACGTTTTTAGAAATTTTTTTTTTTTTACGCAGCGATGTATAATCTTGTAAATGTTAGAGCGTCGTGTGTGTGTATGTGTGCATATCATTTTGAGAAATTGAATAAATTTACATATCTTTCTTTCGACGGGTCCTCCTCATCGTATATGCAGTCAATCTCATGTTTAATCGAGACGGTTCGACTCGAACAAAATGGTTATGGATAGTGTGACTGCGCTGCAGTGTATTGAATAGAATGTTTGATTAGTTTCATTCGTCGGGCAAATGTCAAAGCTGCAAAGTTTCACGGTGTTTGGTAAATTGATCTCGCGAACACTGTCGGACGAAGGATTTTTGAAAACGTAACTGCGATGTCCAGCCGGTCGTGTTTTGTTTTTGGTATTGTTGAATCACGTTGTCGAAATTCCAATTTATTGTCTATGAATTTTCCGTTTTCGGCGATTCAAGAAATATTAGATTTATGGCTCAGAAATGCGCGTTAAAATTCGAAAATGCCGCACTAGCGAATATAGTTGCACCGGTATATGCGATAAATTGTATTAACCGATTGTATTGTTGGGCGAAATAAATGACGGTCGGTGAAAAATATTTTTTTCGCCTCGACAATTGAATTCGCGCGTCCCGTCGCCTTGATTTTTGCACAAAGTTTCATAAATTGCGATTAGATTAGACCGGAATATTATTCGAGGCTGTCGCAATGTTATACCGTAAAATATGAGCTTTCGTCACGACTTACGCGGATAATAAGCTACAGATACTCGGATATTATATTTAGCCGGCCAACTCTCATATCGGCCAGTCACGAGATTAATTATATTGTAAACCGAGCCAATTGCAGTTCGGGAACTATACAAACTCGCGGACTCGTTTCCGTATTTGATATGATTCCGAAGTAATACGAATCCGGCCACCGGATGAAGCCTCGTTGTTGAATCTAGGGTAGCAATGGGAATAGTTCGTAACGTTATAAGCTTTTGTTGGATGGCGTGAACTGTGAGCTAAACGCTCCTAACTCCAGTTACTAGTAACTGGTAATTAAGCGAGGCGCTGCTGTGTGAAACGACCCACCAACCACTATCCGTCGCACCTTTCAACCGTCCCAAAGGTTGCGGCGTCCGTGTCCGTACGTCTCATCTCATCGTGGAATAAGTCGGGTGAGAATGATATACGGAGATGTGCGGTAACGGATCTTAATTTTGACGGTGTGTTTCTCTGGCAGACGTATTCTGATTTATCTCTTGGCAGTCGTTTCTTCTTTCTTTTTTTCGAACGATACTTATATAATAATCATTAGAGTGTTCAGGAAATAACATTACATTGCGTGTGTAAATGTAAAAGGAGGAAAATATACGTATCATATTATTTCAACCATAATTTTTATTTGCTCTCATTAAAAAAAGAAAACGTGTTAATTTTAATTAAGGATTGTTTTCTCGTACTACGTAATTACTTTTTCCGTGCAATTATATACGCTTTTCGTATGCAATTGCGTATTGCAAACACTAGGTGTGTAATATTTGGAGAATCTGAGCCGATATATGTAGGTCATGTTACAATATATATATGTATATTGAATTTAATATAAATTTTGTTCAATGTAGTGATCGAGTAGTTCAATAATCAGAGTGATTAAAATTGCCGAAACATCGGAAAACATGTAAGATTATATATTGTCCATTTTCTGATAATTACACAAAACATTTTAAAACTTTCCGTAACCCGATAAACTCTCAAATTATATACTACTTAAACTTAACCGGAAAGTGAGTTTTATTCTGTAGTAGGTCACAAAATTTTGACTCTTCGCTTCTTATGATTCTAAAATTATCTGTCTTTTAGATATCGACGCATGCAGTCAAATCTTTCTTAGTTTAGATTCAGATATTTACGGTCGCACATTATCATTCGCAGTAATCTCTGTCTCTTATATCGAGATTATCTAATATAATTAAAATAAGAAAGTCAGACGTGATAACGGTCTCTCGCGTGTAAAATGTAAATCGTAATATAATCCAGGAGATATAACGTCCACTGGCGCCAGTATTAATAACGCCTTAATTGGAAATTAGACTATGATATAGGCGTTCGACCTTCCTTTCCACGAGCGAGGGTCGCGCAGTATATGCCACCAAAGTTAATTCCTTTAATTAATAATACAGCTTAGAGCGTAAGACTGTAAAGCGACCAGCAAACTCAAATGATCTTGTACGGTAACGAATTCGAACCATTTCCCATCGTTGATAAGAGGAACCAAATAATTTTTTTGCGATAATGCGTTCTTTTTTTTTCCCTTTTTCCAAGCGAAGAAAACGAGGCGCCGAACAATTCTTGCAATAAAATCGAAAAACAGAGCGATTCTCGCGCGAATTGTATAAGTCACAATTTTAGATTTCTACCGTATCCAATTCAGAATGATGTAAGACCGTCTATTACGTGGCCTTTGTGGAATCACGTGACGTTCGCAAATGCATGCAAGTCTTTGCAAGTCTAAGAACACGCAGCTCGGAACGCGAGCCTGATTCTGTCATAAAAATGATTTAGGCCATATTGATTAAGAAATTACGTGAACCTTCTCATCTCGTGCTTTCAGGTTACCTATTCGTCACTTTTAAGCGTCTAATACGTCATGTACAAGTGTGTAATAACTTGTATGAAAATAATTTATAAAAGTAACTAACGTGTGTGTATGTGTGTATATATAAATTATATGCTACTAGAAAATTTATATTAAATTAAAAATTAACGTATATACATATGTTTAATTATAATAACACAAAACTTTTTAACAATTTTTAAAATGCTCAGAATATATTTTTTATACAAACGAAAAGTCAAACATACATAGGTATACATTGTACTTCGCTTTAGTTTAATAGCTACTTGTTTTGGTTCAATTCTAACGAATATTAAGAGCATCTCGCATATACGCGTACTTTGCTTTCAGTTTCTATTTATTATACTGTTTTCAAATGTTTTATATAAAAGAGAGGAAAGTGCCTTTAATCAAGTAAGTTTAATACAAATGCATTTTACGTCAATTTTACAGGTTAAAAATAAAGTTCCTACATTCAGTTTATAATTCAGTCACACAATCGAACAATTTATTATTTCGGTACTAAAGAGTAATAAAACTATACCTAATATACATATATCCTGATTACACGAACATCTCGCAGAATTCAAATATTTGATCGACACAAAAGATTTTTCTCCCGGACATCTCCGAGATGATTTCTTGTCTCTCTGTAAAAGCTGCGGACGCGATTTCGAAAATTTCGTAGAATTTGGCGCGGTGGCGCGTACGACGGTGCCCTCTCGACGGCAAGGTGGCACGGGCAAAAGCGGAGCACCCGAGGGTGGAAAGGGTTGACGGGGGTGGCTGGAACGGGGGGGCGGATCTTTCTCCCGCCGCTCGCTTCACGGCGGATGGTTCGCCCTACGCCCGTCGTTGGGGCGCTGCAGCCCGTCAGGACGTCAGTTCTCCATCGCATCGCGCCACGGTCGGACCTGGATCCTAACGGGCGCGCGTACATACACACCCACACACATATATACACATATATATACACGTACACAAACACACAGCGCATATACACAACCGATATATCCACATGCGCGCGCGCGCGCGCATCTCTGTGGACACCCTCGCCGGGCGAATCCTTCCAGTGAACGGCGGGACTGGTCGCGATTATGAGGGAATCGCGGCCGCGATGATTACGACTACTCGTCGACGATAAGCGGGTAATTGAACGCGAGTGGCCCCGAAGTTCCCGCGAGTGTCAGCCGCCGGGAACACTGGCGGCTGTCGAGGGTGAACGTCGAGGGTGACACGAGAGTGACGATTCGACTGATTAGTCGCGGAGTCAAGTGTGCCCCGAGATACGCGAACGAGAGGAAGAGAAAGATCGAGATCGAGATCGAGATCGAGATCGAGATATATATATATCGAGACGAGTATTCGCTGCATGTCGCAAAGCGATGACAGTGCGGTACCGGAGACAACAGTGGTGAACAGGATTGTAACGCGGGCGGACAGGCGATACTAGTAGTGAAAGACAGTCGCGGGCGAGAAAAGTAGTGACAGATTGTAACGAGGCGGCCAGCAGCGGAGCGTAACGCTGGATCGACAGGGTTTCGGTGGATCAGCTGATACACCAGCGCGATCATGGATCAGCGTGGCGTGTATCCTACCTACGTGCGACGGCATGTACCACGACGACGACGAACATGCGAGCTTGCTTAATCCACGCGTACACGCATAATCGTCGAGGCTCGTCACCAACGAGGATTCAATTAAATCTCCCGCGCGCGGAGAAGGTCAAGTACGAGCCATGCGGACGACTATAGGCGGGCTGTAGGTGGCCCGGAGTTTTAATTAAAACTCGCCCGCGGGATTCTCATTATCGCGCCTCGTATTCGGGATTAATTAGCCGCGGCTCTGAAAGAGAAGAAGAGAGAGAGAGAGAGAGAGAGAGAGAGAGAGAGAGCGGGCGAAATAGGAGGGTGATATAGGAGGACGTGATTTTCTCGGTGGCTCACGTCGTATATCGTGCACGTAATATCGTGCGACACAAGTTTTGTGCGACGCGTCGCGAGCTCCTCGAGCCCGCCTCTCGTCGCCTCTCATGAACGAGTTTCTTCCCCGGTCGCGCCGCGGCTGGTTTGCGGCTTAGTGATTCCGACGGTTCGTTATTATAACGGAAGTGTCTTCGCGTGCTCCGCCGCCGAGTGCTCCGCTCGTCGCGAGTGACGGATCCACGCCAAGAGATATAGGTGCTCGCGTTTCGAGGGACGGACAAGAAAGGCACGCGAGACAGGCACGTTATATTCTGGACGCGCTTCTTCGACGATGATCTCAAAGTGAAAACGATTCTCGGCAATTAGCGATAGGTAAGCGAAATTGTGAAATTTCGTATAAACTTCCCTCTCTAATGACAATAATTTCGTATTAAATATTGTTACGGCGTTCCTTTCTTTCGCAAAAGGATTATAAACTGGAATATTACATTATACGACATTTTCTTGAAACTAATTTACGTGAAATTCAAAATGTGCGAATCGTGTAATATTTTTGTGTCATGCATTGCTATAACGCACTAAATATTCGTTATCTCATATTATATACATCATTTAATTACTATACCCAATTAATTAAGCTATAATGCATTGTAATCTAACTAATGCTATTACATAATATTCGATCTTATTGAAGCTCTCGTGGATTTGCCTCTGTTTTTCGCCGCATTGCAGCGTCAAAAGCTCCAGCGCGATATTTAGTTGCTAGCTCGCGCGAATATGTACCTTAGACTCATCAAATATTGGTACCAGCTAATTACATCGATCGAACGCGCAATCATAATTCCATTAATTTCAAGTAAGTAATTTCGATTTATTCGCCGTGAAATGGAGCGCTGTTTCGTGATGTATAATGTTTGCGTTTTGTAACACTATTATCAACATAGCATCTTTTATGAAAAATGTAAAATTATTTTCGACGAAAGCTTATAAATTGTAAAAATGTAATTCGCGAATTAAATGAAAATAGAATATACCGGTATACAATGCTCTGCCGGACCGGAACAATGAGCGTGCGAATGTTAGGCATTTCTCTCTGTGGCAAATTTTATTGCGTATAGAATGCATCAAAATATGAGAAAAACGAGTACCGGGTACATATATTTTAATTACTTTGAAAAAAAGAGCCGGCTTTTTTTGCGGTTAACGATTCTGGAATATTGTGTACCGGTATAAATTTATAGTGGACAAAGTGCGCTTTTGGGAAATTGCATTTTCGCATATATATACATATATATATAGTAACAGAAATTGTCGCAGAAGTCGCCAAGTGTCGCGCGCGCGTGGATCTTCATATCACGTAGCATTATCTTAATGCTATCTTTTTGGTGCCTGTAAAGATGCAAGGCGGACGCAAGATTATCTGCGAGACAAAGACCAACGCGAGATAACCGCGGATTGGTGTACCCCTTATCTCTAGGCGTCTTGCATTAATTATCCCCATTTTATAAGCATCCGCAGACGCTCGTAAGATAGCGGCTAACAACAAAGTACCCGGGACTAGTGTATCCCATTTACGTGGAGGTGAATATAATGAGTTGCGTTTCCGGAAGTGCGTCCAGGTGTGTGTCTAGCGCGAATAAATACGGGGCCATTGTATTTCGGTGTTATGCGCGTTTGCGCCAAAATTTCGCCCTCCGTGTTACCCGGAGAACGACCTCTATTTTATATATATATATATATATATATATATATATATATATAATATATATATATATGTATATATGAAACGAGCGTTTCATACTTTTACGATGTACGCGAGGCAGTCCATCGTGTCGGCAAATCTCTCCGTTACAATCGCCCGTGTTTTTTACCCTCTGTATGATCTTTACACACTCCAGTTGTGTCCATCAACATGTTACATCAAGATAACTCGTGTAAAATACGCTTTGGCGTAGACTGCATTCTCGTGCGCGCGTTCGGTGCGTTATTCAATCATGCATTCCCCCTTCTTATTAATAGCACTTACGCGCGTTTACATTGAGTTATTACTGGTTGTGCCTGTCGCCGGTTTGTCGTGAGATCGCGCCATCATTTCGCCCGCGACCAGTCCTTACCTCGCCGATCGATCGACATCTCGTGCGACATCATGCGCGATAGCGATCCAGCCGTTATTGCTCGTACCGATAATGACATTAACGATCGTGGATGTTAAGTTACGTGCGATGGGGTCAATAATGTTGCTCGCGAGTCGCGCCCTCCTCCGCGAGGAGAGTGAAAAATGTGTTTGCGCTGTGTAAATAAACGTTTTAAAGAGCCACCGCGTGTGTGACGTCTCACGAAAGCGTGTGTGACACATATGAGGCTGACGGAGAGATCGGCCTGACGAGATTAGAGAGAGCGTCTCGCTCCGAAAAATTACTCTTCCGCGCGCGAGGTCGCTAATTGCGAGTGTTATTTATTGTTGTGTTAGATCGCGCGCCTTGAGTTTTTAGGCACGAGAGAGAGAGGTAAGAGGGTGGGATCGCGAAGGGGTTAATTTAACTTTTCGTTTTAAATTATGCAGATGAGGGGCTCGCAAAAGTTGGCAAAGTTGCGTCTCTGATACACGTAATCTCTGTTGTTTCGATGTCATCGTCGGACGCGGCGATCGCGCTACGTCCACGAGAGATTAAATATACCTCCATATTAAATGAGTCCGATAGAATGAGGGACGGAAGTGGGATGAAAGCGGAATTTAAAATTAATATAGAAATTAATTACGCGCGCATGAAAAGTAGTATATGTCAAATATTTATTTTCGCTCGATTCACATCGCCCATTTTACTCGACGGGTCGAATAATTCGCGCTTTTTTATATTAATTATAACTGTTTGCTAATTAAAACATGTTGGAATATTGTGTGTTACTGATATAGAGAAGAAATATATTTTGCAAAAATGTTTTTCCGCTTTCGTCTATGTATGCATCAACACTTTTTTTAATCTCTTCCTCGCTCTCTAAAATCGCAATGCTCTTGAAAACGCGCACACTGTGCCACGTTGTAATTAATGTTCTCTTTTTCAAGTTTTCTTATAAATTTTCTTATCTGCTTGGAAAATTTTCTTCAAAATTACCTTTATTCTACTCTTCTGCTTAGCGTGCTTTGCGCATTTTTTTCGTTTCTGTATCAGCGTGGACGCTGCAGATAATACAAATAAAAAGATCTTATCGTCTGACTGCGCATAAACGAAAGCTACACGACATTCCAGTTTAATCTGCTTTAGTGGTACAGGCACTCACAAGAAAGTGCGTTTGGTCTTTTATCTTGAAAAATGTTCTGGATACGATTTCATATTTTATAAGCGTTGTGCGCACGTGTTTTTCCCTCGCGCATAAACGAAGCAACAGTTGTTGCCTTTCCTCTCTGCCTGATATTTTCTGCCATAGTCTAATCAAGATCATCAAGACACGTTGCAGGTTTCTTTGTTATTTACTGAGAAACGCAACGCGCTCCGTGTGTGTGCGTGCGCATGCATCGCGTTTACTCTATTTTTATATTATTGCAAAAGTCTCGCAGAATGAAGATTTTATAATACGGGAATACATTACAGAGAAAGAGAGAGAGAGAGAGAGAGAGAGAGAGAGAGAGAGAGAAAGAGGAAAGAGACTAGTTCTCTCAATAATAACTTTATAAAATACGTATATTGATTAATGCATTTTACGCGCGTACATGCGACAGAACTCTTCTCGATGAGATTTTTCTATATTAAGTTCATATATGTATATATACATATATATTTTTATATTTTCACACGTACGCACATACACATGTATATACGCGCGCGCGTCGCGAAAGAATATGTATGAGAGCTCGTCGTATAGAATTATAAAGTACGATAAAATATGCGAACGCGATATTGTAATTTTATTACGAACCCGGGGAGCTGCCGCGAAAAATTCATTTTGTATTATTCATATTACTTATATGTGCGCCGCGCGAAGGCGCGCTGAAATTGTGCCCGAAAACGTATGGCTTGTGGGCGTCTCGCGATACCGTAGCAAAGCAGAATTTCGGGTTTTCGAAGCACACGGTGTACGACGGTATAAAGTTCGCGCGCGCGGTGCACAACCGGTGCATAAAGTAAAAGCGGACCGAGATGAAAGGAGCGGAGAGCCAGCGGGAAACGTGCGTCTGAAGGGTTGCCTGGTTTGTGTGGAAGCTACGAGAGCAGCAGTCGGTGCGAATAGAGCGATAGCTACCTATTTTGCTCTCCTACTCTCACTGGACACAAAGGAAGACAGAGAGAGAAAGAGAGAGAGAGAGAGAGAGAGAGAGGAAGTAGGAGGAAACAAACAAAAAGAGAAAAAGAACCATTTATTTGGCATTCTACTACCTCGTGTTGTCCTCTCAAGCGATAGATAAAAGAGATACAGATAGAATTAATCTTCTGCCGATTTTATCTGCGCTAAAAATTACACGTGTATAATTTAGCAAGTTAATTTAATCCGCACACACAATCTTTAAATTCTTACATCGTTGAGGGAGAAGTAACAAAAAATATATCGGCCTATTTTTTTTTTTTTTTTTTTAAACTGATTAAACAGCCTGCAAAGGTATCGTAATTTAGATTCATTGTAAAAGTCATGATTAATTTACCAATTTGTAGCGTTTCACGAGATAAGATATTTAGCAAAAATAAACAGAAGTAACACTGTGATTATGTTTTGACGTAAAAATACTCTCGTATGATTTGTATAAATGGATCGCGTCACAGAGTTGAAGATGACTCTAGGATGAGAGGCACGGCGAGCCATTCCGGTTATACCGACGTAAGGAGAGAAGGTCGTGTCTTTCGCGGATCCGTCCAAGAACGACGCTATCTCGACGTGACGAATGAGCAGCTTCCCGGGACTATTTCGCGGAGCAGAGAACGCTCGAGGAAATCATCCGCATGTTCCGGGAAATTCTCGAATAAAATTTTCAACGGACCGCGTGCGACCATACAGCCTGTTTCCAGGCTTCTCACGCTTTCCCTCGTATAAGGATTCCTGTGCCATTTGTGGAGTAGATTTTTCCATACATATATAGATGTAGGAATATGATATTTTATTCCAATATTCAATGTAAATATTTCCTTTTAGTCAGATATATTTTCCTTTAACCAAAACTACACCGTTATAGAGAATTTTTGAGCTAAATAATTAATAATTGAAATAAAAATTTAAAGAACTCCACAACTCCTCTCCTCAGAATTTAATATGTATTCGAAAATTATGAGAAAATATTCAAATCAAACTTTTACTAGAGACAGGTCGATTTCATATTGTTCAAGAATTTCAATATATCAACGAAAGTTTGAAAAATCTGAAAAATTCTGCACATCTTTTCATATCAGTATCTTTTATCAGCGATTTTACCGTACCGTGGATTATATAGGAGCGATTCGTTATAGGTTTGATTTTTGGTTCCTGCGAACGCATCTCGTGACATCGATCGTGCCAGAGCGATGAAATTGTCCTCGTTATGAATAAGTGGTACCATCATTGCAAATTCTTCTCACGTTTAGCTGTTCAGCTTGCTATGTCTCGCGTATATGCAGTGAAAATCCTCGAATCGTTAGCTGTAGAGATTCGCTCGTTTCCAATGATTATTTTTCTTTCGAAATGAACTTTTCTTTTTTTTTATTTATTTAATTTTAAACATTTCTATATGTACTAGTTGTAACAACCAATATTACTATAATAACCAGCGAATGAATATTCATGTTTGTTGCAAGAATACGACACGTTTATCTTGTTTTTTCCTCTGTATTATTGTAGATAGTCGGAGAGAAAAAATATTTTATATTCGCGACTTTGTCTTCCCCTCTGTTGTTTGTAAGCTAAATAGAATATTATTTCTCGAGATATGTATTTCGTAGACGCCTCTACAAGAAAAGAATATATTGCATAATCTTCGAGCTGCGCGCAAAAGAGATAAATTTTCTCCTTGAAACATGTATAAAAAAAAATAAATGCCTTTATTTCAATCACTGTATAAAGATATACTAGGAAAAAAATAATAAAAATTGAATGCCACATATTTTTGTGTGTTTCCAGATATACAAAAATATATTTTTTTTAAAACGCCTGCATAATCGAATGAGTATCCGTTGTGGCTAAAGGGATGCTTACATAGCAAGCGAGATTATGCAGTAACAAATAGCGACGTTAACGCAATCGTTTCCTCGGCTTTCCTCGCCGGTCTTCCAGTAACGGCAGTTCAGCACTAACCCAAGTGTTTACGAAAGCATCGTCTTTGTGAGATAAATGCGCGACCGAACTTGTAATATCTTGTGACACATCGTGTACGCGCGGTTTAACGTAATGCGTTCCTCTTCTTGGTTTCAGAGTTCGTTCTAACGCACGCAAGGCGCGTATTATGTGAGGAGAAAATCGCGACGAGGGAAACGAAGATGTCCGCCGTCAGCGTCATCGCATGGCTGCTCGGTGCCGTCGCTTTGGCTGCGATTAATAATGGTGAGTCTTTTTCAAATCCAGTCAAAATCATGATTGTGTCGATCTGTCCATAAAAAGTCTGTAAACTCATGAAAAATGCTGTTTAATTAATTTTGCAATTATCTATGGAATAATAAATCGAATGGAAATAGAATGCATATTTCATGCTTCGTCGAAAGATCATTTACGAAATTGGAAATTTTGTTTTTGACAATTACAGACTTTTTATATCAAAAAGTCATTTTTCATCGTCACCTGATTTAATTATCTCGACCATAATTCAATCGTAATACGAAAAAATAAATATGAATTTGAACATTGTTTGCATTTTTTTAGTCCTTTGAATTTAAATAATTGTGTATCACTTTTCTTCGATAGATTCGACTTTTTTAATAGTCAAAAAATAATTTCGCGATGAAAAGATCGAAATTACATAGTGTAAAAATTTTATTTTCGAAAATATTCGCTTGTTTGCCGGTTTTCTATCAATCAAACGGTTAAAAAAATGAAATCAAACTGAATATCTTTTATCTATAGTATAGAATTACTTTCATTATTTTTCATTCTTGCTTCTTCTTTAATGAGAAATTTATAAAAAAAATTGCTTACCGATTACTAGAATATCTCAAAAATATTTACAAGGTTATTTAAAAAAAAATAACAGCACGTAATAATAGTTTTCAATTTATATATAACCACATCAAACGCGGTTTTATTATTTGCCAAACCTGCCCATTATGCAATAACAATACAAAGAACAAATATATTGACACATATTTTTTGAAATATATGAAACGATCGATTTCATATAATGGTTATAATTTATCCGTTTGCTTTTGATTTTTACGCCCTTGTTTTTTTTTTTTTTTTTTTTTTTTTTACGAGCCATATGAAACGTGAAATAACTCAGAGATATGGTCGAAATACACGGTTGAATTATGGTGATAGCGCGTTTGATGGATTCATGTTGCGCGTTGTTTATACAACAAGCATAGTAGTGTCTAAATGAAATATATCTGCGGTATTTTTTTGAATGCGTTGCACTACAGGTTTTAAGAATATTCAATAAATATTGCGAAAAAACAATATGGGAAATATATGTTTGTAAACGAATCATAGGAATTTATATATAAATAGTCAAGAGAGCGTCTCTATTTTTCCGAAGCACCAATATATTACATCAAGGGAGAATCGAAAATATCCACTGATTGATACACGCGGCCAGCGCGTGATATATGATTTGGAGTTATTTATAACGAAATTGATCGGCGGTAATTTTATTTAATCCAATTTTCTTCCTGTATATCTATGGGCATCACAAAAGTAGGACTGTTACACAGAAAAATATCCCTGAATTGCGAAGGCGATTATTTAATGTACATTCTTGATGCAATCGTGCTTCAGGCTTCATCGCGTGCGCGCTTTTAAGGAATCCCTTTATTCGCAGACACTGTCTCGCGAATCATATCACGAAAGATTTCCATTTCTTCGTCCGCGGCTTTCGATACAAGAATTCGCCGTGAAACGGATGCGTGAAATTTGAAAGTTAAATTTAGAGATATCTGTGCGTGCAAAAGGCTTGAAACGCAATTCTCCGTTGATTGTCGTTTTTTTTTCTTTTTTTCCCCACCATCATCTAATCCAAGTATCGCGGAACGATATTTTTTTGATTTTCGCGAGAAAGAACGAAGTGATCTTTTCTCTGCGTTTGTGATCCTTTCGCGCGAATCATTGGTACGTTCGAGGGTGAAATTCGTGCGATAGCATACGAATTCGAGGCTCGTCGGGGTTCGATTGTCGGTAAGGCACGGCACAATGATTTCGAATCAACGCGTGTCCGCGCGGATATACGCACATCGCGTCTCTCGTGCGCGCGCGCCTCGTCTATTCAAGTATGATTGTCCGCTGATCCGCGGCTCTTCTCGCTCGCACGGAACGAGAGAGCGAAAATATATATATAGAGAGAGAGCATCAACCCGGCCGTTTCAATACCTGGGTGACCTACTCTCCTACCCCCGGCAAGGAAACTTTCATTACTCGCTTCCCATTTCGATACCGATCGAAAGTCGCGCGATACCATCTATAAAAGAATCATCTTCTTGGAAATGTCGCGAAAGAAAGACATTTATAAATAAGAAATGCGTGACTCTCTCAAGATAGAAAGAGCGTAATTTTCTGTTTATCGAAAAGGATCGCCGTTGATTACTACACCTAAGTATATAAAACGTCGGCTTACTTTCGATTAATGTCTCGTTATTCTCCACTTCTGTTATTTATATTTGAATAGAATGATAATCTGCACACGTGCTATAAACTGCGATAAAAAATTGACTTATAAAGATATATCTAAAGCCTCGACAATTAATATACAGACTTGAGCTCCACTACTAGCTTTTTGATCTTTTAACGAATTCGAGAACCGATTCCTCTCGAGACTCAAGCGCACTTGTTAGATCGAAATCATTAAAACAGGGATGTGCAGCAGGCAGCAGCGAGCTTCGCGCCCGCTCGCCCTCTTTACAAACTTGCATATATACCTCCGAACAACATGTACCGACGATAGTTCTCGAGCTGCGGGCAATAAGCACCCTTTTCTCCGGGCAAACAATGAGGCGACATTGGGCAAAAAATTAACGAAACGCGTTTCCAAATGCAGACTCATCTCTCGATTCTCTCTCATTTTACTACGTCCAGAGAGGAGCGAGATGGGGCATTTGTCCCCTTCTTGGAATCATTAAAAAATTATTTTTGCATATTTAATATAAAAAGTAAATAAAAAATTAAATTAAAAAAATATCGTAATTGCCGAAAAAAATCCTGCGAACGTCCCCTTTTTCTCGACGCGAAACGTCAGATGCGCACCGTAAATCGGAGTGTAGTTAAGCGAACGGAACACACATTGCAGCTGGATAACAGGACCATGCGAAAGTATATATGCGCATTCTCGCCGATTGATACAGGAAGAGTCCGATCGGCTATTACGAGCAATTTCACGCGAGACAGGTAAAAGCGCCGTAATTACGTCACCAATTTACCGAACGTTTCGTTGGCGAGGCGACCGCCGGATATGACATTAAAGACGACGTGGCGAGAGATTTATATACGTTAAAGTCTCTCCGCCGAGTAACTCTCGAGATCGTAAAGCGGGCGTAAACACGGGCGAAGACACCGAGACTGATGTATGTATGCGAAGAGCGTATATACGGTGTCGTATAGCAGAAAATTGTGCGAGTCAGATTTTATTCCCTTCTGTACGTTTTCCCTCTTTTTCCTCTTTTCAATTTTTTTCGCGCTCGCTGACGCGCGGTTGCCGTTTACGCTAATTATTTATGAATGCCCTTAGGATTTTCTCACATTGACCTGTCGCCGGTCTGTCGCGCGTTTCCATATTGCGAAATGGTTATTAAAACGCGGCGTCATCCAATTAACGGGTAATTACCGTTGCTTATTATTGCTTGATGAGCGCCATATGGTTATATCGCGACGAACGTGTTGTCTAGTATTCCATTATCGATGAATATTAATTAATGTAACGCGCGCGCGTGTATCGCGTGCGGATAATTAAATTGTTATAAATTGTCGTGAATGTTCCGCGTACACGAGGGATCTTCGAACGCGCGCGATCATAATTACACGCTAACCCTAATTTTTCACCCCACCGCAGCACCAGAGAGTGCCCCACTAGTCGAACTAATCGATCGATGTGCCACGTTCGTTCGAAGATTGCGGGCAACGATCGCGCGCACGCGCACTCGTTACAAGTTCTCTCGCCCGTCGAGAGAGGAGAACTCTGGCAATTAGGGTTCTTGATCTCTTATTGCGAGTACCAATTCGTGTTGCTGCTAGCGACAGAGTTTCGCAACCCCGTAGAAAGGAGCTCGTCGGAGAGAGGGTGGTAGGTTGATTTAAGTCCTGCGGCTAGGTGGCGGAAATCTTTGATAAGGCACGGCTACCGCGAACGCTGATTGGTTGCCCGAGGCTTCGCGCCGATATGACGTTCAAACAATACGCTCCATGCTAACAATGCAATCGCGGCCGAGATAAAGATGTATAGATACAACCGATATCTATCCGTGTCGCGCCCGTATCCCGTCGGATCTATGACCCTGGATATCCCTTCAACGTTCCCATATCAATTTCAAGGCGTCGACAATGAAAAGGGTGAAGCATGATTGACGTCGTGCGTTAGTTTTTTTTTCTTTTTTCGTCGCGAGAGAGAATATCCACCATGGATGTAAAATATCCGGTCGAGTATCGGAAAAACGGGAAATTTGCACCGTATATTTTGAGTACGCATGCGACGTTATTCGATATAATGTTTCCTGTAATTTTATTTTCCGGCATGATGCGCGAGAGAATGCGCGTATTGAAGCAGATTATGCGTGCGACAATGCTACCTTAGTCAAATTTTGCATAATTCTCTTTGATCGGGCGCTTCGCGGCGCTCTTTGGCGTTGATTAAATTAATTAATCACTTCTAACGTGCGCGTCTTTGTATCTGTCGCGTGTTAGTGAGTATACACTTTAGTTTCCATCCTATATCGGGGCGAAATTGGAAACTATAGAACGTTATGGAACCGCCTCTTCCCCCATTCTCTATCTCTCTGTTGCGTCCGATGCATCGTGTATGTGTATAGTAGTTAATACGACGCGTTTACTTTAAAGTATACCTATATATTACCTATCTATACGTTCGTTGGCAAAGCCGCGAGATGTCTAGGTGCCAAGATATATCGTCGTTGCGTGCGATCGATGCCGCTATATTTTTCTTCGACCGTGTATACATTGCGGGTCTTGTTTTCTCGGGTATAATGAACCTCGTTTGTCGTTAAACTTCGTCTCTTGCACCTATACACAGATCACTCCCGGCTAGTACCGGGCTCTCGACGACGTTGACGTCGCGACAGCGCGTTCGAGCATAAAAGTGTTGCCTGTGATGTGTATAAACTTGGTGCCTTTGCTATTGTTTTATCCGAGAGAGAGAGAGAGAAAGAGTTAAAAAGGAAGAGAGAGAAGGTGGC